GGGGCCATTTTGGGTTTTTGGCGGGGGCCTCCTGGGGGCCTCTTGGGGTCTCCTGGGCACCTTTTGGGTCCGTTTCGGGGCGCAGGAGAACGATGAAAGGATGGGGGCCTATAAACCCTCCCCCCAAGAGGCCATCATGTCCCCGAAACCTTAGTCAACCAATGATTTTGGCCATTTCCCCAAGGCCAAAGTACCCTGCGACACCGCGCGACCCAGCCTTCCGGGCCAAGGGGGGCTCGATAGGGGGAGGGGTCAAGACGCCCATCCCCGCCCGCAAGCTGTCTCGCTCACCCCCACCCGCCTTCCCAACGCATAAGTTGCACCCGGGCCTCAGCATGTTCAGCGGTCGTCTATGGATGGGCAGCTATTGGGAACCATTGCAACGCTGGGGCGAATCCCGACACTTGCCAGGCGTTCCACGCGCGTCAGGTGCGCCAGTCACCTCTGAGGTCCAAGCTTGCCAGGCACGCCTCGTGCGCCAGATGCGCCAGGTGATATACGTGTGCCATGTGCGCCGCGTGCTCCAGCAGCGCCCGGTGCGCCACGTTCTAAACACGCGCAGATTGTGCCAGGTGTACATGCGCACGCGGCAGTACACGTGGGGAAACGTGTCGGCCCTACCGCCCCTGTCGAAAACGAATTCAATCGCAGCGGGGTGGCGATCATAGTGTTTTGCGGGCCTGCACACAGCAGGCATGATACCAGTATCCCCGCCGTCCCAGTCAAAAACTAAAAAGCAATGATCGCGGCGCGCCCGCGCATGATGCAGATTTTACTCCGAAGAGTTCTTCCCCAGTCAGAGATTGCCTCTGTAGGCGTCCTAGCGGATTCATATGGTTAGGTGAGGTGGGGCGCCGATTTCGGCGGCACGCCAAGGTGCCCGGGTACCCGGGGGAGGTTCGCCGCCGATTTCCGCGGTGCCCGGGTGCCAAGGTGCCCGGGTGCCTTATGGCCCTATTGCCCTATTGCACTATAGCCCCGTAGTTTTTTAACAATTGAACCCAATCGCTCTATAGCCTTTAGCCTTCTAGCCCAATCGCTATATAGCCCTAAATCAGTATAGCCTTCCAGCCTTCTAGTCCTATGGCTCTATATGTTTATAGTCCTATCGCCCTATAGCCCTATGGTCCTATAACCCTATAGCCCCATCGCCTCAGAGCTTTCAAAAGGCTATGATTGGGTTTTTTCTCCGGCATGTTTGTTTGTTATTCGTCAAGAGATGTTGGCCTTGCGTGCAGCAGGCGATATGCGGGCACCCCCGCCGTCCCTGACAAGAAACAACACAAAGTGCTCGCGCTCCCCTGATCATGACCCGAAATGTTGCCCCAAAGTGGGTTTAACATTTTTTTGTCAATGGGGATGGTGGAGGGATGGAGGAGGGGGTCCTTATTTGTCCTGGTTGGCTGTCGGTCGCCTGAGGGAGGGGATGTTTACTAGTAGGGAACAGGGGTAAACCCTCCCCGAAGGAGAGGAAGGGGGTTGGAAAAGGAAGCGTTCAACACCACCCGCGCCCTGAAAGGCTGGTGACTTGTTCTTGTCGGTTTTTCGGTGTACCTCATCCCCTTTTTCGTTCGGGTGTGCCGCCGACGTCTTAGCTGGCATTCCTCCGATTTTTGGATGTAGGGGACAGGGCGAGAGAATGGGGGCGGCGGGGTGTGCCAGGCAGGAAACAAGACGCATGGGGGAAGCGCTCGCCATTCATCCAGACCCTGTCGTATGGCGCCGGCGTTGCTGCAACCGCAAAGTTGACCACGTGGTAACTGACGCCAGGCCGCAATATTTCCACAGGCGTGGCGCTAAACCTTCCAGCTGCATCAGGACGTGAGGTGCGAGTTTCACCCTGTCTGTCCACGGTTGTGCCCAGAAATACCAACACTGCGTCAGCATGGAAAGTCGAAGCTTACATTATGAATACATGATGTTTGCGCGGAAGCGTTGCAAGTTATATTTCGCTGGTGTCGTCATTCATTGTAGAATTAGTTCCTCTGGAATCATGCACATAATCTTTTTTGATGACGTTTGCGAACTGCCGTGTAGAACGTGTGATGTGAGGGCGAACGCCCCCTGATGGTTTGATTGAGGAAGGGCCAGACAAATAACAGGAAATGGGGAGGAAACAGGGGCGGAAGAAGAGGAGGGCAAAAGGGGCCAGTGGGGGAATGGGCGGGTGAAAACAAACAGGCGAAGGAGGTGCGGGATGACAGGGATGGCCAGTTATGAAGAAGAGAATGACGACGAGGAAAGGTTCCAGATGGTCTGTTTTGCTTTCGAAATAACAATGTTTCAAACGTTTGGGTGGGGCCTGATCTTTGTCCACCCTTCTATTCGATGCGCATGCAAGCAGGGTGGGCGCAACTTTCACTACACGTTTTGGCTGAAACCAGCGGGCGTGCTCGGATTGACGTATTGTATGTATTGCGCGTTGCAGAACGCAGCTGCTTCTGTTCAGTGGGTGCAAGTAGCGAAACATCCACCGTGTGCGTGCCCAGTTGCCTGCGGTAAACCGCGCCATCAGGATGGTTCCGCCGAGTTTCCCCGGAAACTCGGTGGAGCAATGTGGGGGCAGTTGCGGAAAACCATGTTGTAACGGGGCGTGGGCAGAATGTTGAATGTCTGCTGCGTTGGTTTAGTATTTTTGGTGGCAAAACTCGCTGTTGGGCTGGTGCATTGGGAGTCTCTTTGGGGCATCGTGGGGGTCCCTCGTGGGGAGCTTCTGGGGGGTCTTCGGGCCGTCTTGGTTCGATGAGCCTGCCGAACTATCCCGAAGAGGTGCGGTTGGAGCATATTGGAGTTGCTTGCGTGCTGAATTGATTTCTCTGTGCTTTCTGGGGTTCGCCATTGGGGTTTGTCGGAGCCTTCTGGGGGCAGTCTTGGGGCCACTTCGGGGAGAAAAACGTGGGAAGCCAACATCAACAACAAGTCAGATACAATGTGTGGTTTACATCTTTGCGCGTTTTAAAAGGCCGCGTTTTTAAGGCTTCCCGAAGTATCTCGGAGCCTCTTGTTGGAGTTTGTGTGCCTTTGGATAGATTCGGGCTCTCATGGGGTTGGCATTGGGACCGTATTGTCGTGTTTCGAATCGTCGTTGGTGCTATTTGGGGATGTTTTGGGGGAGCCGTTTCTGAGTGACGTGCGCGACGAAGGGGGTTTGCCCCTGGAAAGTTTCAAAGACCCGACATGACAGCCGACAGACAGGGTGATAAACTCCAGCGCGCCGATGACAAGGCGGCGGAGCTAGATTTGGTGGCGCAGGAGTTCACGAACTCTGAGGAAGGGGGAGGAAGCGGGCAGAGGAGTATAGTCAAAGTCCATACTAAGGATGCCCTGATTAATCAATTCTATGTTTGCATCCCTGTTTCTGCCCATCCCGAGCCAAGGTTGACGCCCAAGGAATTTCAATTGGTATGCATGGGGCAACCAAGAGTCTTGCATCCTTTCTTTGCGCCCTGACTGTGGATTTTGACTGGGAGGATCAGGAGGGTGAGGGGGAGGATGATGATAATGAGGAGGAGGCCGAGGAGCAGGAGAAGGAGGACGAAGAAGAAGAAACATAATAATGACAAGAAGCATAATAATGGTAATAATAATGTTGCTACGAAACATAAGAACAATAATAATACTAATAATAATAATAATAATAATAATAATAATAATGAGGAGGAGGATAAGAGTAGTAATGACAATAATGCAATGTATACTAATAATAAGAAGGCGAGTAAGACTAATAATAATAAGGGATACGAATAATGCAAATAATGATAAAACAAAAATAATAACAATCAGAGGAGGAGGAGGAGGAGGATGAGGAGGAGGAGGAGGAGGAGGAGGGAGGCCAGAAGAAGCAGGCGTAAATTTGTGGCCCCGCGTCAGGTGCCTGGCCGGACGGCGTCGTGGACCGCGAAGACGTCAAGATCATTTCCAATGGGGCGTTTTGACCCGCTCCAGTTCAGTGCCCTGTCTGAACTGGCAGAGGTATCAAGCATCCCCTCTTTGTCCGCATGTTCTGCGAGCCGTCACTGGGCCGTCTTGGATTTGTGTTAGGCGATAGTTTGCAGTGTAGTGGGTCGCCCATGAAAGACGACAGACCCTACCAAACAGTTAACTAACACTCGCACACAACAATGGGTGCAGGCGCCGTGGCATATACAAATGCAGATAAACTCTGAACACATGTCAACGACGGTCTACCCTGGCCTGCAGGAGTCGGCCACGTGGGTGCATCCGCTTTCCTTGCGCGGGATTGGGCTTGGTGGGGTTGCGCAAAGCGTTGGGCATACCCAAGCACGAGTTCGACGTGGACCCCGCCCCATCGCATATCCGACTGCTCACAAATTCATCGTCCGCGTCATGTTATTTTCTTCGTTGTAATCGTCGCCATCCTGCTCCTCCTTCGCTTCGCCCCAGTACGCGTCTCGGTTTCTTAAACACAGGGGGAGGGAGGGTGTACCAAAAGTTCCCCGCCCTCTGGGAATGCGACACCTTCTCGCCCCACGCTTTTGCGCGCTCCGCTGACGAGTGTAAGAGTCGCGCCTTTTTCTGTTTCCTGTGGTTTACAGCCCCATGTCTTCCGTCGTCGAATTGCTTCTTTCGGCCCCATGAGTTTCGAGCGCTGTCCCCCGCCCCTGTCCACCCCCATGATAGATGGTTTCCGGGCGCGTGCCCGCGATGAGAACAAGGTGCATCGCATTCCTCCTCCAACCACTTTTTCTTGCGGCCCTCGGTCCAATGCGGGCCGGTACCGCTTCGGTGCGGCGGCAGCGCGTGCGCAGGCGCTCAAGGCTCGGGGTTTCCAGCGGCCTGTGGTGAACCGCGGCGGCGAAAATCGTGCGTCGTCGGGCGCCCCACGCGATTACAGAAACCAGACGTAAAGTCGTCGCCGCCGACGTCCGCCTCCGCCGCCGCCGTCGTCGACGTGCTGTGGCGGACGCGGGCGGCGTTGGCGGCGGGTGCCGTGGGGTGCCTGCCGCGCCCGCGCCCCCAGCGTGCCGCCGCCCGCGCAGGCCCGCCGGTGCCGACGGCCTCCCTGCCCACGCTGGAGCCGACCTCGCGGCGACGCCCCCCCGCGGGGCTGCCGGGCGGTTCTGGCTGTTGGCCAGTGTCTGATCGACGCCAGGCCGTGGCGGCGAGCTGCGGCCTGCCGTCGATCGAGGCTCGGCCACGCGCAGATGGGGATAGGGGGGAGGGGGGGACATGTTCTTAGAAGTACCCCTGCTTCTTGAGATGTCAGGCCAACGCCTACTAAAAAGCAGCCTCCTTCTAAGAGGCCTTCCCCCCTCCCCCATACCCCCCTTCTGCGCGCCGCCGAAAGGTTCAAGGACCGGAAGGTCGAGGAGTTGTTTTTGGTTTTTCTGAGCATGTTCGTGTTTTTGAGGGCCTCTGGGGGGGGCATCCCGTGGCAACGGCTAGATCCACGTCGAAGTTCAGGATTGTTTGGGCTTGGGCAAGGGCCTGGGGAGCAATTTCGCCGGGTTATCGCGCGAGTCTAGGTGACTCATACAGAATCATCGCGCCGAGCGGGGGGGGGGGGGGGGCGTCGCCATTTTTCGGCGCGGCGGGGACCGCTTTTGGGCCCCAGCGCCGCAGGATAGGATTCGGGGTGGAAAAACAGCCTTGGGAAAGGGTCGAGAGCTCTGAGGGCCAGCGGCCAAAGCAAAAATATCGAGTCGTCGGAGGTCTAGGCCACGAGGGCCGTGCTATGCGAGGCCGCCCATACGAGCGCGAAGATTATCTCGCTTCTCGCCTCGCAGTCTGTGCCAGAGAGTTTGGTCGCGCGAGGGCGCGAGGGTATCCGCGCCTCGCGCAGCACGAAGCGCGAAGACGACTGACATGGATTCTGGGTCCTGGGGCCCTGATGACTTCTGGTCTCGTCCGAGAGACCCCGCACAGATATTGAATTGGGGGCTCTGGTCGTGGTTGTCTTCGGAGACGTGGCGTGTTTTTTTTCCAGGGCGTCCAACGTTGAGGGGAGGGCGAATCCACGGCGGGGCGTGGGCTTGAGGCTTCAGTCGGGGAAGCAAGCCACTGTACACCTACACCTGCCACGACCTTTCGGCCCAGGGGAATGACTGGCAATCAATAAAGGGAGGAGGCATGGATGGTTTTCGCTTCTACCGCACTTCCGTGAAGATAGATGTTAGGAAGTCATGTGGCGAAGCCAACGGAGGGGTCCGCGGAGAGGTTTCTTCCTCCTGTAATGCCTGCGTGAGCGTCGCTGGGGATTTGTAAATATTTGGGCATCTAGTCTGCGCTCACGGCTCTGGACGGACAAGGGTCGGTGGTAGCTCTTCCAGAGGGCATGTTACTTGAATATTTGCGAGACGCTGCCCGCAGGCCATCATCATCACCATCCTCCTCCTCCTCCTCATCATCATCCTCATCTTCATCCTCATCAGCATCATCAGCAGCATCATTATCAGCATCATCATCATGACAACCATCAGCATCATCGTCACCACCATCATCATCATCAGCATCATCATCGTTATGCTCATTAGCATCACCACCGTCATCCTCATCCACAGCAGCAACATCCTCATCATCATCATCATCATCATCATCATTTCCACCAACACCACCATCACCATCACTATCATCCCCATCATCATAACCATCACAAGAATCACCAGCGTCATCAGCATCAGCAGCAGCATCATCATCATCATCGTCATTATCATCATTATCATCGTCATCATCACCATCATCATCATCATCATCATCATCATCATCATCATCATCGTCGCCCGCCCGCCCGAGCCAAGGTTCTGCATGGGAAGGGTTCCCGCGTCATTGCGTCAGTTGAGTTTCGCAAGCAAGTTGCGGATGGGAGGGTGGGACATGTGTATGAGCATTGGAGTTGACGGTTCCAAGTTGCTCGAAATGCATTCTCCTTTCTAAAAAGAGAATAGACTCTACCCCCCCCACCCCCCCCGGAGTTATCGCCCCCCCTTTCGGGCATGTACACCACATATGATTATGGCCACATGTCCATCCTAAATATGAAATCACAATGTCCCAGGCCAACCGGTATCCCCCCCCCCCTGACGTTCCCTCGTAAAAAACATTATGCGGTGTTGGTTCTAACATAAGACTGTTTCACGAATCCCTTGCAAAAAATGGGACGAAGTGCACACGCGCGCGTCGTCGCGCGCGCATGCCGAAATCCTTCAAAAACCTTCGGTGCCGGAAGGATTTCGCAATCGAGTTTCCAAAAAACATACAACAACGCAGGGTTTCGTAACACTGATTTGCTAAGAAAGCTTACGCGCGAGCTCTTGCGAGATCTTGAGAAAACCATTGGTTTTTGAATATTTTCACAACATGCTACCAATCGGGGGTCGCGCGCGCATGTCGAAATCTGTCGAACGCCCTTGCGCGTGTGCCGTCGCGAGAATCCTCTGCAAAAAATGGGACGAAGTGCAGACGCGCGCGTCGTCGCGCGCGTACGCCGAATTCCTTCAACAAAAACCCATCGGTTTCGGAAGGATTTCAAAATCGCGCGTCCAAAAAACCTACAAAAACACAAGGTTTCGCAACACGGATTTTCAACAAAAGCGTGCGCGCGCGCTCTTGCGGCGTCGGCGTCGTCGTCGTCGTCGTCGCCGTCCTCCCTCCTCCTGCGTCGTCGTCGTCGTCGCCTACGTCGTCCTGTGTCTTTCCTCGTGTTCGTCGTCGTCGTCCTCTTTGGCGTCGTGGTCGTTTCCGTCGTCGTTGTCGCCGTGGTCGTCCTTCCTCCTCCTCCCTCGTCGTCGTCGTCGTCCGTCGTCGGCGTCTCGTCGTCGTCCCTCCTATTTCGTCGCGTCGTCGTCGTCGTCGTTGTCGTCGTCGTCTCGTCGTCGTCTTCCCTCCTCCCTCGTCGTTGTCGTCGTCGGCGTCGCCGTCCTTCCTCCTTCTTCGTCGTTCGCGTCGTCGCCGTCCTCCCTCCTCCCTCGTTGTCGTCATTGTCGTCGTTGTCGTCGTTGTCGCCGTCGTCGTCCTCCCTCCTCCCTCGTCGTCGTCTTCGTTGGCGACGTCGTCGTCTTCGTCGTCGTCGTCGGCGTCGTCGTCGTCTTCGTCGTCGTCGTCGACGTCGGCGTCGTCGTCGTCGCCGCCGTCGTCGTCGTCGTTGTCGTCGTCGTCTCGTCGTCGTCTTCCCTCCTCCCTCGGCGTTGTCGTCGTCGGCGTCGCCGTCCTTCCTCCTTCTTCGTCGTTCGCGTCGTCGCCGTCCTCCCTCCTCCCTCGTTGTCGTCGTTGTCGTCGTTGTCGCCGTTGTCGCCGTCGTCGTCCTCCCTCCTCCCTCGTCGTCGTCTTCGTTGGCGACGTCGTCGTCGTCTTCGTCGTCGTCGTCGGCGTCGGCGTCGTCGTGTTCGTCGTCGTCGACGTCGGCGTCGTCGTCGTCGCCGCCGTCGTCGTCGTCGTCGGCCGTATTGCTTCTCCGGCCTTCTTGGGGCGCTCTTGAGACGCCCCCGAGGGCTCCAAGACGACCCCGGAGCGATATCTGTGCTCGGTCCCGCATGGGTTTTGCAAACCAAGTTGCGGGTGGGTGGGTGAGATGATTGCGCGAGCAGTGGAGTTGACAACTTCAAGTTCAGCAGAGTAGATTGCACCGCATAGATTGCACCACGCAGTTGGCGCACATAGCTTACACTTACACACCCTGTCAGGCACATGTGCTCACATACACCTCCGAACAATTGTTGAACAGCAGTGTCGTATCAGTCACAATGTCAGTCCAAACAAAACGGTAATAGTAGTAAGGCTGCAGCAGTAACAGCAGTGGTGATAGTGGCGGCAGTGGCGGTGCGAGCGTGAATGGGAGATTCCGTCGTAGCGGTGGCAGTCGTAGTTTTGGTAGTGGAGGGAAACGTTGGTGTGATGGAGCGAGGGGGAGAGGACAGGGGGGACGGAGGAGGGCACGGATAGCTGGAGGGAAGGGCAGGCCGGGACGGGGGGGGGGAGGGCGAAGCAGCTGTCCAGGTGCATGCGGCAAATCCGCCGACGTGCCAGCGAAGCACTCTGTGTGGCGACCTTTCGAGCACCGCCCAGAAGGCCGTCACGTGTGTCACCTCGTCTTCCTCCACTTCTCGAGGGGCTCTCATGGGACGTGCCTGGGCCGTCTGGTGTCGTGGGCTCGTGTGGCCTTGCGGCCCTCTTCGGTCGTGGGGCCGCCTCGTGGTAGTCTTGGTGCCAGTTTGGCCGTCTGGGAGGTCTCTCGGGGCCACCCTCTTGGGGCCGGTCTGGGGAGTGATAATCAGAGCGTGAATTACCTACCCCGCTTTCGCTTCCAGGAAAAACCAAGCCATACCACGCGCCTCCTCGTCAAGCGGCCTGACCAGTACAGGCCGTAGTTTGGCATCGCTTGGTATCTCTTGGAAGCGAGGGTGGTCAAAAGCGAGGTAGGTTTGTTTGCCCCCTAGATAAGGTTGTCGTGGGTTCCCTCCAGCGGCCGACTTGGGATCACTTGGGGCTCTCTTAAGGCCAGCTTTGGCGGTCTAGGGGCTCTCGGTGGGCCTGCGGGGGCTTTCGAAGACCGCAGTACACCTTAGGCGATGCTTAAGAAAACTTAAATTTTCGGCCAGAGTCGCAATTAGTCTTAATGTTTCAATGTAAATCCTAGGATTTGAATAGAAATTCTGGTTTTTTTATCCACGTTCTGAGACTATGAATTTCTTAACCCATGATTTCTTAAGCATTTCGCAGGGTGTAGAGTGATATTCGACCGAGACGTGTAGAAAGCGAGGCACATAGACAAAATGGAGGATAAGCAATGCGTTTGTTGGGCTTCACGGGGTCCTCTTGGAGAGCGTCTTGGAGGTGACTCTGGTACAAGGGAGCTTCGCATGCGGAGACCGACGGGCAAACAGAGCGGGATCCCAAAGGCAATTGGCCGACCGCTTGGGCAGCATCACTTAGCAGTGTGCGGGGGGGGGGGCCTCCCAAACCTGCGTTGCCTTGCCACAAGGGGCGCCAACAGGCAACGCCGCTAGCGTTGCTGGTCAGCTTGTGCACTGGGGCTGGTGGCACGGAGCAAGACGCGCGAATTTGGAGGGATGATATTTTCGGACAGACTCGCGTTTTGCCGAACTCCAGAACACCGCCCCATGCACTTGCTGCTGCTCCTGGCACCACGTCGAGTACATTGACTGCGCGCGGGGGGAGACGCTGGCGTTGCCTTGCCAGAGCGGTGCCCAGGAGACCAGGTGCCGCACGTGGATGCGGTTTCTCCGAAAGTCCGCGGTGACCGGTCACAACATCGCCAACGGGTGACGGCGCCAGCGCTACTGGTCAGCTTGGGTGTGGGGGATGCAGGCACGGAGCGCGACGCACAGATCTGGAGAGGAGGCGTGCTCGCGTCTCAGCCAAATTCTAAGATCTAGACCACCGCCTCGTCCTTCTGCTGCCGCTCTGGGCACCAGGTCGACTGCCTCAACGGCTCGCGGGGGGAGAAGCGAGCGTTGCCTCGTCGGGTGACGGCGCCGTATTTGCTGGTGGCTTTTGGTTGGGGGGTTGCTGGCGCGAAGCACGACGTACCGATCTGGAGGGGCGGTGCTCTCGAGGCGGACTCGCGTCTTGCCAAACTCCATGCCGCCTCGCTCATCTGCTGCTGATCCTGGCACTGGGTCTACCTCCTCGACGAGGCCCAGGGGGGCCGCTGGCGTTGCCCCGCCAGCGCGGCACCCGCGGAGGCTTGGTGCCGCATGTGGGTGGGCTTCCTCCGCAAACCCGCTGCGCCTGGTCACACATTCATTCACGGGTGACGATGCTGACATTGCTAATCAGGTTGTGCGTGGTGGCTGGTGTTTCGCAGCGCGACGTACAGATCCGGAGTGACGATATTTTCGAGGAGGGCTTGCGCCTTGACGAACTCGATGCCGCCGCCTCGTGTACCCGAGTCCTTTCGCGCCGTGACTGCGCGTGGGGGAGGCGGTGGCGTTGCCCAGCCAGCGCGATGCCCAGGGAGATCAGGTGCCGCAGATGGGCGGCGCTCCCCTGACAAAGCCCGCGGGGACCAGGCACCGAGTCGCCAGCGGGCTGCGGAGCGCGGCGGGCTGGTGGGACGGAGCACGACGCAGAGATCTGGGGAGAGACGACATCTTCGAGGCGGTCTCGCGCCTCTGCCGGACTCCAGACCCCCACGCCGTGCACCTGCTGCTCCTGGCACCAGGTCGACTACCTCGACGGCGCTCGGGGGGAGGTCCTCTCGAGTGTGCTGGCAGGGGCGCAAGGCGTGGCGCGCAGCTCTGCAGGGACGATACTTTTGAGGCGGACCCGCGCCTGGGCCCACTTCGTACCACCTTCCAGTGCCCTCGCTGCTCCTGGCCCTGGGCCTGCCACCTCAACCGGCGCGCGGGGGCAGGCGCTGGCGCTGCACCGCCAGCGCGGCGCCCACGTCGACCACAGGCGCCGCAGGTGCCCGGGGGCTCCCCCGCGCAATTAGTCGCGGTGCCCCATCACCGATGCGCCAACAGGCGACCGGGCGACGGCGCCAGCGCTCAACTGCGCAGGGGAAGACGTGAGGACGGGAAGAAAAACATGTTTCGACCAGTACGGTAGGTTCGCGTCTCGTCGACCAGCGGCGACCTCGCCGCTGGCGTTCAACGTGGAATGCCGCTGGCGACCCAGAATCGGTCGATTTTCAAGGATCCCCGCGGAGTCAGGAACCAACGCCGAAGTCGGCACAACACGAGTTTGCCGTTTCCGTCTGCCGAAAATTGTTGGGCGTCATCAGTCTGAGTGTGCGGCATGAGGGCGTTGAGCAGTCATGCGCAGGCCGTGTATTCTTTGTACGGTTTGTTGTTTGGAGTGGGCCCAGAGGGCGATCTCGTCGCCCGCCAACCCAGCAGCGATGCAGGCTGGTAATCATCAAATTCGGACGATCGAGTTCCAATTGCCCAGCGACCATCCAAACATTCAGCCAGAGCCGCCACTTTTCTGGCAGCTCTCTCACCTCGATCTTGTCCTTTACAGCCAGCGTCCCTGTGCAGCAACGCTCAAGGTCTAACAGTCGCCGCTCAGCCTGGCCACTCGGCACAGTACTTGCAAGCCTGGAGGCTGTCTTGCGCAGTCGCAGAGGTGCCGGCTAACTGACGCCCGATGGTGGAGGCTTGTGGACCTTTCTCCCGCAAAAAAGGGGGAGGAGGAGAAGCTGGAGGAGGGGGAGGAAGAGCATCAGGAGGAGGAGCCAGCAGAGAAGATAGAGGAGGCGAAGGAGAGGAGGAGGAGGAGGAGGAGGAGGAGGAGGAGGAGGAGGAGGAGGAGGTGGAGGTGGAGGTGGAGGTGGTGGAGGAGGATGAGGAGAAGGAGGAGAAAGCGGAATAGGACGAGGAATAGGAATCATAAGTATACTACAAATAATGATGATACGTTCAGCACTAATAGTACCATTGGTAATATTATTAATCGTAATAATAATAGTAGTAGTAGTAGTAATTTTAGTAATCATAAAAAAGATACTAACAATAATACTAATAATAATAATAATACTGTTGATGACAATAGTGATGATCATGATGAGATGAGTAGTAATAGCTACAAAATTAGCATTGATGATCATGATAATACTCTTTGTATTTTTACTACTAACAATAATACTGCCATTGCTACTACTTCTAATACTAAGAATATGATCGCTAATAGTAATACACATAATAATCATACTAACCTGAAGAAGAAGAGCAAGAGGACGAGGAGGAGGAGGAGGAGGAGGAGATGAAGGTCGTGGAGGGTCTGTGATGAGGAGAAGGAGAGGCGGCGGCGGAGGAGGAGGAGGAGGGAGGAGGAGGAGGTGAGTGGAGGAGGAGGAGTAGGAGGAGGGGGGAGAAGGAGGAGGAGGACGAGGAGGAGGAGGCGAAGCAGGAGGAGGAG